CAAAACAATCGCATAATGACTCTCATTTTCGTCATGAAACATTCATTCGAACAGTCGTTCTGCATGAATACTACAAATACTGCATAATTGATTATAAAACTACTTGAAACGACACTTATTAGTATAAATATTACATGAATAAAGTCAAAAAATATAACGCCCCACTTTTTATACATTGAATTTCTAGAATAAATTTTTCTTTTCATAAAACATTCGCAAACTTTACTTGAAATTAGGGCGCTACTTATTTCGAAAACTTTTCAAACATGAACCTTTCATAAACATAAAACATTACATGGTGTAGCCTCGAGGACTTACACATTATCTTATCTTACATGAACCTCGACTTACTACATAAACATAAACTTTACTCAGCGGAAGCATTTAAAACATTAAAATCATGAACATTTAAACATTTGACCACCCTCGCCATCGCTCCATTGCCAGCTCGCCAAAACCTGGGTGTGGAAAACAAAAGGGGTGAGCATTTCCACTTATTCCGTTAAGGATCCTTCTAAGTTACCATCCTAACTAACTACCATGCATGAAATCATTAGGTATACTCAACATAATCATGAGCTCCCGACGAGTGGTTGCCCGCAAGTCGAAAGACTTTCTTGCTTTTAAAACACTATTGGACAACTAAACACTATAGCCTTTGCATGTAGGTGATTACATTCTTGTCACACTCCCACCCCTCATCAAACTCCTTATACCAATTTATTGTGGTGGGAGAACAATGCCTCTCGCAGATAGCACGACCAACTAGGCTTGATGAGAGTACCTTTCATTAGGTTGAAGGAAGACAACCTTTCATTAGGCTCCGTTCAGTCTTATCGACGGGGACAACCGTTCTAAGTGCGCACCAACGAAGGTTACATATAATCACTTACACCCTCTAACCCTAGCACCTAGCCACCCTCTAGAGTTATAGTCCGTAAACCTTGGTACTGCAACAAACGACTTGCTCGAATGTTGGAACATTATATAAACATGGGTACTATGCAAGCTACTTAACTTCATTCAAAACATAGATAATCAAGAAGGATAAATAACATAGACCTTCCCCACCTTTTTGCAGAATGCTCGACTTAGGCTTTGAACTTGACTTTAAGAAAATGAGGGCTCGACTCCTCGATAATTACATTCATTGGGGTCATATCTTAGCGTCTTAACATAGCACTTCTTATACTTATACTCATTTTTTTTGGAAAAACTTTGCTTGCTTGGCTTTGCCTCTTGCATTCTTTTTTAAAAAAATTCTTGCTTAAAGTCTTTGGACAAATTGAACTCTTAGCTTGCTTAAGGACACCATTCTAATAATCTAAAGTTCATCATGATCTCACACTACACTATATGGCTCCTACCTGTCACCTAAGCATGCACAATAAGGGTAAAACTCAATTATGAAATCATTCTTGAAACTCGATAAAATCTGCCATGCGCAGCGTTTTTAAAACATGCATATCTTTCAGCACATAAGTCGTATTAACATGATTCAAGTCTCAAATGGATCCTAAGACATGCTGCTACAACTTTCATTTAGAACTCGAAAGCAAATAAGGTTAAACAAATGGTGAAAAACAAGCTAACATTACAATCATAGTTGCAGTCTCAAAACAGAAACGTCCAACATACTGGGTCTCAGTAAACAACAAATATCATGAGTACACACATGCTTTTACCAAGATTCAAAATCCATTAAAAATCCAACTCAATAAGGAACAACTTTGATGAAGATCACTTAAGCAAATAAGGTCTTTATCAACGAGCTTAAACATCAAATATTTAACACGAGAAATCTGCCAGAAACAAAACTTAACACCTACAGCCCCTTAGTAAATTTTTAATATCTCAAGCTACAGCCTTCATTTCATGAAATTCTAAAAGCATCAGAAAACCAACTTAATTTGCCACCACTTTCATGTTGATCATTTTCTCACATAAACTTGTTCGACACCCTTAAACATATCATACATTAAACACAATCATAATTCCTGAAAACAGCATGCACAGTCGACTTGTAAAAATTATATAAAATTTATTTTAACTCATTTTTTAAAGATTCCAAATCCCTCTAAAACTTAACTCAAATAGCTACAATTTTAATGAAGACCTCAATTTCGGTTGAGAACATCATAATACAGTAAACGGACCAAACATTAATACATACATGCTGCGGACCTACAGAAAAACTGCTTGCCCTCTGATTTTGAAACGTCTATAACTTTCTACACAAAATAGATATTCAAGTGATTCTGGTGCTCACAGAAAGCTAGCAATTCAATCTACAGTTCATACGAAGAACCCAGAAGCAGAAAACGAGCTTTCGGGGGTTCAAACGGCTCATGAATAGACAACAAGAAAACAACAAAATCACTAACGATCATGACAATATTTCCCGAACTTCATAACATATCGAAAGCAACTTAAACCAATAATTATAAGCACGTTTTGCACACAAGAAAGCATGATTAATAACACATAAATTGTCAACATTCAACCTCATTCACATATCATAAACATAGATCACAACGACATGCTTAATTCATCGATTTCTCTTCTTTCGCTAACATTAATTGGCATAGACCTAATCTAAGGTTCTTGATCCTCCTATCTCTTAAGCAAGCTTATTTGTTCAACTTTCCTAGACTTAAACACTTTGAAAATCATCCTTTTAAAAATCATACTCCAAGATCACTTGGAATTTCTTGAATCATCATTTAAATTCTTCAAATAATAATAAATCCGCATTAACTTTTATTAACTTGTCTTATTACATTGATGAACATATAATCAACCCTCCTAATGAAAAAGATGGGTTTACCGTTCTCGGGAAAAAGGATTTAAAAGCAAGCTTGCAGGATTGAAAAGTCTCGGCTTGAAGGCTCGGGCTCTCGGCTGCAGGCTTGAACGTGTGAAG